ACATGACTGAATTGCTATAGTCTCATGATAAAACTTGAATAGATGAGCAGTTGCTTCTTAGGGATGAGCAACGAAAGTGGTTTCTTGCGATGGAATCTACTCCTGGTAAAGATGCCATGAACATTGTTGAAATGGCAACAGATAATTTAGAATAGTCTATAAATTTAGTTCATAAAGTAGCAGTAGGTTTCAGGGGACTGACTCCAGTTTTTGTAAGAAGTTCTACCATGAGTAAGATGCTACCAAACAGCATCGCACGCTACAGAGAAACTTTTGTGAAAGACTGAATTGACTGAGCAAACTTCATTGTTATCTTATTTTACAAAATTGCTACAACCACCCCAACCTTTAGCAACCACCAACCTGATCAATCTGCAGCCATCTACATGGAGACAAGACCCTCCACCAGCAAAATGATTATGACTTGTTAAAGTCTCAGATGATCTTTAGCACTTTTTAGCAACAAGGCATTTTTAATTACAGTTATATATATTTTAGACATAATGTTATTGTGCACTTAATAGACTTAGTATAGTGTAAACATAACCTTTATGTACATTGGAGAACCAAAAAAAGTCATGTAACATGTTTAATTGTGATACTTGCTTTATTGCTGTTGGCTGGAACGGAAACTGCAGTTATCTATGAGATACGCCTATATCTATAAAAGTTGCAATGAAGATGCTTACAGTATGGTTGGAAAACATAACTAATACTTCACAAATCCCAACATTGCATATAATTATATGCCAAGTTATATAGTATAGACTAGTATCATAGAAGTTTTGGCTAAAATCTGTGAGCAAATTTTTGTATGATTAAAAATGCTATGCAACATAATAAAAGAAGGTATGTACTTAAAACACTTTGGCAATTGTGAAGGTGAGTTTTAAGTACTTGATGTTAATGATTAACTTGAAAGTAAACTACTAAAAGTTGTTCATATAAGGACAACTAGAATGTTAGCTATGCTTTCTAGAATATTTGAGCAAAAAAAAAATTTGACAATTTGACTTAGATCTGCCTTTACTAACAAAATGGAAGCATAAAAATAGATTCATAGTCATCCAATAAGAAAACATAATTAAGGGCCCAGAAATATAAAGTGACAATTTCTATTAAAAATGCAGCACATAAGAATATCCATACACCACTTCAGTGCCTGGGTGTCATGTGCTGTCTAAATAAAAACCTGAGCAAGGGAGGGGAAAATGTCAGCATTAATTGGTCAAATTAGGCCATATTTTTAGTTGACATTACATTTGCACTTGACAATTTAGATTTGACCTACACACCCAAAAATTTACATTTGACCCACACTAAGAGAATCCATACCATTATAGTAGGTACTTGACAAAGAGCATGTTTCCTGTGTTATATTTTTATATAATTTAATTTTCACAAATATATACCATTTCCCTTGCCTTGAAAGGAAACGATTATTTCTTTTTTTTATACAAGACAGACCTGAGATCTTTTTCCCCAGTTCCAAATACTTGGTAATATTCAGTTATTTGATTAACTGATTTGACTTTATAGGCCACAGAATCAATCTATTTTTAAAGAACTGAGTTTCCCAAGGCATGGGACACCTACACCGCCTAATTTCATTAGTAGGTATATCAGGTATTAAGTAGTCCAGTAGGAAAGGTATTCCTTTTATAGTTTTCTTTCTGTTGTTTATATCAAGGATTAAGTTTCAGTATCATGCAAGCATGTTTTCACCATTTCTCAAATATGAGGCAATGTTCCTTTACAGCAAAGACAACAGACCTCAGGATAAGCAGACAATAATATCTACTTGGAATTTAATGTTGTCTTTCTTAGATTTGTATTTACTTTTACCATGGTCATCTACTTACGGCAAGTGATACTATACTGGTTCTCATTTACAGAAATAATAACAACTTTCCTCTAAAAATGAATTTAAATCAAGTTAGTCGATGTAAAGAAAAATATTAGGGAAATAATAGTATATATAGTTCTCAGATATAGGCAAATTTGTACCATGGTAATTCACTAGTGACTAAAATTGGGAAAACAGAGCTAAAATAATTAACACGTTAAAAATGTTTTTTCATTCAGTTATTCATATTAATTACTGTTAATATTTTCATTGGTATAATATATGAATTCCTAAGTTGTCTATTGGCAGGGAATTGCAATCTATTATTTAATCCAAATAATTTGTAGAAAATAAATTATTGATACAATTTAGTTAGTATTAAAAGACAGAACAAGGGGATTTTTAATACAAGTAAGGTAAAATAGGTTCACTGTTATTTGTTCTAGAAGAGTTTGGAGGTACTGCTGTTATTACCACGACACGAACCTAGAAGTTCAGCTTTTAGCAGTACCACACAGGCAAGATCATATTATAATACAGCCACTTGGCATTCTAAAATAATGGTTCTAACCCTGTATTCTGCCATAATACATGGAAAATAATGGTCACATATTAGATATATTCCTGGGGGAATGCCCCGATTTTGGCAAAATTCTCCCCTTTCTGCTATTTTTTCCAGAACATTTAGGCAATACAGGGCTGTAAATGTTGGTTATGCGTAAGTTCCAACATGTTTCCTTCTATCCAAGAAAGCAAAACCAAATGTTAAGTAAATGAAAAAACACTAATATAATCAGCTTATTTAACAACAAAAAATAAATCATTCACAAATTTAAGTGCTTTACCTATTTTTCACAACAAATACTTAAGGTATAACTCACTACTGACAGGACTACCAATGGCTCATGACACCTTGGTCCAAACATACTACTTTATTGTTGGAATACCAGATTAATGTCACCTCTTTATATTTTAGTTAAGACAGAGATACCAAGGTAATGACTGGATTAGAGCATGATTTGCAGATGCAGTGACCTAAGTGAATGGTACTGGCACCAGCTATTTATAATTTGATAAAGCAAGCAATCATTCAAATTTACTTGCAACACTTAAAAGGCATGAGTTTTATAATTAATGGAAAAAATCTTCATATTAAGGTTGAGAAAAATAAAGGTCTCCTTTTGTGACACGAAAGTAGAATAACTCTCAGGTGGTAACCCAAATGTTCCCTTGTGAATTAATGTGTTCTACAATATTAGTAAAACCTAACCACTCCTTTTATGTATAAAATGTAGCACTCACTGATAACACTTAAAATGGCCAGGAGTGGTGGCTCACACCTGTAATTCCAGCACTTTGGGAGGCTGAGGTGGGTGGATTACTTGAGGTCAGGAGTTAGAGACCAGTCTTGCCAACATGATGAAACCCTGTCTCTACTAAAAATACAAAAACTAGCCAGGCATGGTAGTGAGCACCTGTAATCCCAGCTACTCGGGAGGCTGAGACAGGAGAATTGCTTGAACCCAGGAGGCGGAGGCTTCAGTGAGCTGAGATCACATCACTGCACTCAAGCCTGGGCAACACAGTGAGACTCTGTCTCAAAAAAAAAAAAATGCTTTTGTGTATTCTGATACAAGTTTTAACAATATATGAATTAGCAGAGTTTAAAGAATTAGATGATATAGCAAACTGTAGGGATAAGAAAGAAATGTATGTAAACTGGGCCATAATGAAAACAGTTTGTTTAAAGGCCCACAGATCTGATCAGTGTCACTGACATAAAATCAAGTCTTGCACTGAACTAAGTCAACATACTGTTTAGGAAAAAGAATTTCTAATATGGATTACAACAGAACTGCCAATTGCTTACATACATATGTGTGTTCCATTCGTGTTGTTATAACATCAATTAATAACAATCATCTTAATTTCATAATTATATTTTGAACTTACCTTTGCCAAAATAACAGAAGCAGAGCATGGTCAACATGGTAGTTTCAGGCATCTTAATAAAACCATCATTTTTGGCATTTATGCTGACATTGTAATGGCCTCAAACTGTCAATAACTCATTCAAAGCAAATTTAATAAATGTGGAGACATGGGCTAATATTACAGTCAGTTTGCCTATATTCACTATGCACATTAGCTCTACAAAAGAATGCGAATCAAGGAGGCTGAGGTGAAAATATCATTAAACAATAATCCCAAATTAACCAATAGTAAAGTAGAACTCTATGTTCAAGAGTTGTACACTCACACACATGATAAAAGCATAATCATTAAACTTTTTTCTGAATTGTCTAGGTTTAGCTAATAATTTTAATGTTACTGATGGACTTTGGTCCTCTTTAACAAAAATTAGAAACATTAATTAACACATTCTTCCCAAACCTTTATTATAAACTTTTATGTTTAAGTATCTATAATTTTTCAATTATTAGGGAAACAATGTGATATGTCATTTTAATCGTGGGTGGATCACCAGAGGTCAAGAGTTCAAGGCCAGCCTGGCCAACATGGTGAAACCCCATCTATACTAAAAACACAAAAATAGCCGGGCGTGGTGGCAGGCACCTGTAATCCCAGCTACTCAGGAGGCTGAGTTAGGAGAATCGCTTGAACCTGGGAGGTGGAGGTTGCAGTGAGCCAAGATCGTGCCACTGCACTCCAGCCTGGGTGACAGAGTGAGATTCTGTCTCAAAAAAGAAAAAAAAGAAACATAAATAAGTAAAAAATAATTATTTGTGTAAGGGTAGAGGAGATAGAAAAAATATATGACTTACTCTCTTCATTCTACATGTATCATATAGGTGTAGAGTTTACAGAAATACCTTTGTAAAACATGGTTACTATTTTTTGTTTGTAGGTATGTACTTGAAGCATCAGTAGGTCAACTGGCTAACATTCCCACCACGGCAGAAATGCAAATTTTGGAAAAAACAGCCCATAATACTTCAATCGACAGTGAACACAGAAGGCATTTTGTTATCATCAAATCGCCAAACTAATAATGGTGAACAAACAAGGCAGAATTCTCCTGCTGCTTATATTAAAATTACCACCCAAGCATCGTTCAGACATCTCAGGTCCAACTATAATTCTGCATTTGCCCATTGTGTGCTTAACATCAATGTGATCTAGTAAGTACTACCATGATCTTTGAGATTTCGAAGAATCACAGCAGGAAGGCTATGGGACTGCCACCCTGTCACTAACTCGGCCTCTAGTTCCTTAATGTGGACCCTGAGCATGAGGGGTGGCACTTTCAGAAGCAGGTCAAGAGGCAGCAAAGCTGCAGAAATAAAAGGGGGAAAGATATGAAACTGTAACATAAATTACATTGAATTTTAGAGAGTTGTGTTTGATTTTATTGCTATCAACACTAAGTTACCTGGTCTTGGTCTTGATCCTGTTCCTCCAGTGAAGTCCCTGAAAATAGAATTACAGGCCATTAGAATGACTTGTTCAACTTGGATTTGACAAACTAAGAGCCTACATCTTGCTATGGTCTACATTATAAAGATTAATAAAGATTATTTTCCTTCAAGATGCTCTCAAGAGTTTAATTCAGAGGGAAATAAATATATTGCAACACACAGTACAATTGACATTCTACTGACAAATGGCAGAATCGTCCCACCACAGCTGTTTTTTAGGCTCTAAGTATGACTAAGAGCCTAACTCTTATGATCCTGAATAATTTTCTTGTTACACTTAAACTCGAAATATGATTTTGCACTAAAAGGATATAAGATTTAAAATGTTATATACAGTATTTTCTATGATTTGTTCCTGCTCTATTAAAAAACAAAACAAAACAAAAAACTAACAAAAAAAACCTTATTCCTCTTCCTATAAAATGTTTTTTGCATTGAAAATGATTATCTTTCCTAAAGTTGCCAGTGTTATTAACATCCCTTGTTTGCCTTGGAGGTGGCCTTAGACTGTACCAAGGATATGTGTAAATCACCTTCAGCCTTTTTTTTCCACTGTAACCAATTTTTTTTTGAGACGACTCTTGCTCTGTAACCCAGGCTGGAGTGCAGTGGCGCAATCTCAGCTCATTCAAACCTCCACCTCCTGGGTTCACACCATTCTCCTGCCTCAGCCTCCTGAGTAGCTGGGACTACAGGCACCCGCCACCATGCCCGGCTAATTTTTTTGTACTTTTAGTAAAGACAGGGTTTCACCGTGTTAGCCAGGATGGTCTCAATCTCCTGACCTCGTGATCCACCCGCCTCAGCCTCTCAAAGTGCTGGGATTACAGGTGTGAACCACCACACCCAGCCTAGAACCAATTTTTTAACAGTTTTCTGGAATGAAATAAGAAACATTTGTGCCCTGACAAGTTGTAAGAATCATTCTTAAACTTAATGCAATTCAACAAAAATATATCATACATCTACTATGTATAAGGCACATGATAGGTATTTGTTAAGCAGGAATAAATACAAGAATTTAAATACAAGTAAACATAGCTGATAAGTCTCTTGTCCCAACCCTTCTGTTTTAATCATAGATTTTTTGATACATGCATGCAACACCTACCTGTGTTATTAAGCGTAACAAAATTGGCACTTATTTACCTACCACCCAATTTAAGCACTAGAATAATACCAAAATCTTTGTATCCACTTATGAGTTTCTTCCCTGTTCCTTTCCATTCCCTCTTGATCTTCACCAGGCTAGTGCTCTCTTGATCCCATAATATATTCTGTTCCATTCTGAGCTCAAGGTTCCAGAGCCTTGAAAAGTAAATGGAACCTGCCAGCCTTTAACAGTTTATACATTTTCCCTAACCCTGAGATAAGCAGCATGTTTAAAAAAGAAATGAAGCTGATCCTGCCCTCAGAAAGTTTGAAAAGAGATATGATCACAGCAGTGCCCATGTGTAGGCAGGACAACCTCAGGGCTGACCTGAGAAGCAGAACATCTGTTCCAGCTCCTCGTATGCCTGCACAAATGCCATATCCCAGCAAATGCTTTCCGAATAACTTTGCCCCTTAGCCTTCTAGATGAGGCTAGCACTGTCTAATAGAAACTGATTGTAAGCATCAAACATAATTTTAAGTTTTCTGGTAGCCAGATTTTTAAAAAAGTAAAAAGAATACAGTGAAATAAATCTATTTTATTTAATCAAAAATATTCAAAATATTATTTCAACATATAAAAATTGAGATATCTTATTATTTTACATCTTAATTAATATTAAATGAAATTTAAAATTCAGTCCCTCAGTTGCACTGGCCACATTTCAGCTGCTCAAGAGTCACATGTGCCTAGTGGCCTCCATACTTAACAACGTGGTCCAGGCCCTTCTTAAGTGTTGGTCATTGTCTTCATACACTTACTACATTCATGCCATGTAGCTGCTAAACCTGCAATACCTCCTGAATCCCACTCTCTTAAAAAGTGAATACAAATGCAACTTGAGGCCAACTTGTATCCATCAGGTTATTCATGTTCTTGAAAAGCTGATCATCACTCACATGATGAGTTTGCAAGATGACTGTTTCAGATGTCCTGAAGAATCTAACATTTCAAACATTTTTACATATTAGCAAATGCTATGCATAATGTGTGCTAGTGGGATATGTGACATAGAACACCCTGACAATGCTGAGTTGCTGCCGCCTCTGCTATTCCTTTATATAATTTTAAATTACTCTTTAATAAACTTTCGGGAATCTTTAAAAAGAACCATTACACATTTATTCATTCATTCATTCGAGAAATATTAATTAAGTGCCCACAATGTATAGCCACCATGTTGGACACTGGAGATGGGACGGTGAAAATAAATAGTTTCCACAGTCTTGGGACTTAAAATATTGCATAGAGATAGCAGAAAATAAATGTCAATTTCTCTGGAAATTATATCACTAACTGCAAGAAAATATAGTCATCTGAAATTTCAAAATAGAACAGACTCATTGTGACCAGAAGTGACAGCTTTTAACTATGCAATTGTTGGGTTCACAGATGGACAAACGATTGAAATTATGCAGAGCCTGGGGGAAGACTGCCTCTAGATTGAACCACATTGAATGTTTATGCTCAACAGAGCATTATGGCTACAGAGGGTGGTGTCCCCATCGGATCACAAGCTGAAAAATATACCAAAGTGGTTTCACGCAGAGAACATTCCAGAAATAGTTTCTGGTAAAGAGGTTTAATATATTATAGTTTGTGTTCTCTGAAAATTTTGAAATGGGCATTGACCAACAGCACTTCAGGCTGATGGAAGAATTTCAGAAAAATAGAAGGCTGAAAGAATTCTAAAAGGCCATCCCTTCCAGCTCTCTTCAGACCTAGTATGACCTCATCTGGAATTAATAAGGCAAAAGAGAAACTGAAGTGCTGAAAATGAGTGTTAGCCTACAACTTCCACCCCAAAACACTAACAGATAAAGTGAATAATCCAGGAAGTAGCTTTCTAATTTTTTAAATAGACTTTTCACTGAATTAAGTCAAGAGCAAGGTGAATTATTTGGACAATTATTTTGCCAGCAGAGTCCTGGCCAAGAAGAAGATGAAGCCCTAAAATTTCATCTCTCATAAGAATTCCTTGAAATATGTATCTGAACAAAGAAAACATTTTCACATGCATTATAAGTGTATTCCATCATTTAATTCAATTGTGAAAAGTATCAATACTATTTGATATTGATAAAAATAATTAAACCTTATGAAATGAGAGGTTTGGCTTACAATAGTAAGGTAATGCCTTCTGAAACTACTGCAACCACACCATGTGAGCTAATGAGCATTTTATAGCTGAAGCTCTCTTTCAGGCAGTGACATTCATACATACATCCTGTGTGAATAAGCAACATTATGTAGCTTTGAGTTCTCCTATGTATCTATAATGTTAATAGAGTTGGTATCATGACAACAAAGTAGTATAATGCTCCTGTGCCTATCCCTTTGTACCCGAATAACATATCTCATAACAAACCAGCACTAAACCAGGAAAGTATAGCACTATCACAGAAAAGAAACAAAGTGGTCTTACTATGCGTTTTTTTGTTTGTTTTTGTTAAGACTGCTGGAGTGTGACATTGGCAGATGGGCCAGGTTGATTCTAGCAAGGAGTAATCATGCAGTATTTATTCCTCCAAAGTAAAACCAGATACAGATTATGAAAAAGATGGAGGGAGAAAAGCTACAAAATAAGCAAAACTTATGCTTTTAGGAGGCAAGATCCACAGGTCCTGAAAATACACAAGGTCTTTCCAGTCACAAGTATGATGCTGAATGGTCACAAACCTCCACAATCATCTTCACATATAAAGACTTAGAGGCCTGGCATGGTGGCTCATGCCTGTAATTCTACTATTTTGGGAGGCCCAGGCGGTGGATGACCTCAAGTCAGGAGTTCGAGACCAGCCTGGTCAACATGGCGAAACCCCATCTCTACTAAAAATTCAAAAATTAGCTGGGTGTGGTGGCAGGTGCCTATAATCCCAGCTACTAGGGAGGTTGGGGAGGGAGAACCGCTTGAACCCAGTGGGCGGAGGTTGCAGTGAGCTGAGATGGCGCACTGCACTCCAGCCAGGGCGAAAGAGCAAAACTCCGTCTCAAAAAAAAAAGAAGACTTAGACTTAGGAGCACACTGTCAAATACAATTATGCATACACTGACGAATCAAAAAAGTTGTGAACCACAGGCATCTTTGATACCACAAACATCCAGTGTCTCAAACCAGCCTGCCAACTATACTCTGTTGCCTGGGCAACAGGAGGCAAGCAGACGTGGAGAAATCTTGTTGCCTGAGCAACAGGATCCCTTTAAAAAAAATGTGCCTTAAGCTGAGGCTATGGCAAAGGCTGTCAGTAGGCAAGATTTCAGTCCTTGGTAATGAGATAAAGAATTTACACTAAGATAACAATCATTCATCTATTCATTAATCAGTATCTGTAGGTTGGTACCTATGTGCAATACACTGTGCCCTGGAGAAGGTAAAGATGAATTAGGCATAGTTTGGCACATATCCGGCACATAGTAATAAATATCCATCAATTAAATAAATGAATGAAGGTTCTTAAGATGGTCGTAAAACAATGACTAAACTTTACTAGGACCTGAGCATATGTGATAAAGAGGCTGAAGCCCCTGTGAGCATTATCAAGTTCCACTACAGAGAATATTTTAAGTTGAAATAATATGCTATGACTTGCCGGATTAGAATCCTCAATGTGTATATACTAGGTCAGCCTACGAAACCCGCATAAAAACTGGTAAAAGTCAAGCCGATTCTTAATGCCTTCCTAGCAAATAGTAATAGATATAAAAGATTTCATTTCAAATTTGAAAATGATTAAAGTTGGAAATTTCAAAGAAATTGGGGCTTATTCCTCTCTTGATCTTGCCATTAACTATATTCCTCAAAAAAAGTTGTATCAACTAATGATGGCTTGGATTCCCAGGTGCCTTCCAGTTCTAATATTATTCTCCAGCCTTGAGACTTCAAAATGTCTCTAAGGAGGCAGGGGCTATCCCTCCTAGTTCCATTTGCTCATGTTTTATCCATTTGTCTGGATCATTTGCCCAAAAGCATATCCTAAGTTATTAGGGAGTTATGTTAGTTATTCAGCAGGCAATTGGTTTAAATCTGGCTCCTGATATCTGATATCTGACCAAAGTTAAGAATTTATGCTTAAGCTTTCTCTTAGTACCATTAATATTTAGCCAGGGCCACATCTGACTTCTATATTTTGGAGGCTGTGGTCAGAACACATATGTCCTTCCCTGTGACTTCTCTCATTGGGCCTTTTTAAAGAGCCAGTAAGGGTCCCCAAGTGGGAGAGCTGCCCAGAGTCTCCTTGCAATTGTTATACCATTTTATACATGGCACAGAATAGGAAAAAAAAAAAAAAAAAGAAAACCCTCTACAGGCTGGATTTTCAATTTATTTTTATTATATTATGTAGCTTTGCTATCTCCTTTTATATTCAAACTTCTTATTTAGCTTCTAAATATTTTGCAGGATGGGTTTACATTTCACATTAATAAACTAAGAAACCCAGAAAAATCCTAAACAAATTAGATTGCAAATAACTTTAGCTTTATTTAATGTTCTTTAAAGAATTATAAATACATTTTGGTACTGTCTCCTTTTAATTCAGAGAAGCCCCAGGGATTACCTGGGAGGGAGTCAAAAGTTATTAATTTTCTCTCCTCTTATTTGGCATAAATCAAAGGCTGTCTTTTATCATTTATTTTCTTCTGAAGTCTGCCCTTGTCTTTCCATTTCACTGTGAGCTCCCTGAAGGAAGAGAGCTTGTCTTAAACAAACCTGTGTTCCCTGGTAGCATGTCACACCGTATTACCACATTTCATGGCACAATTTTGCAAATGTTGCTTTAGGTCAGGTCCCGTTCACCTTGGAACATACTTTCCAAAACATCAACTTCAATGTATGGGCCACTTTCCATATCCATCTGTTGACTTGGTCATAACCCCAGGTTAAAGCTTGTTCTATATCCCTGTTTCAATGATCTTCAGATTAAACTTTGCCTTTCTGCTGATTCTAGCTTACCCAATTTGTTTTCAAGTATTTAGTTAACGACTAACTTTTTAAAAACCATCTCAAGCTCTAAAAGATATAGACCATATTGGGTTTTTGTTTGTTTTTGAAGGGGTGGACATCAACCAATTTGTGCAAATAAGACAATTTTCCATGGATCCTTTCAAAGAAAGAGTAGAATTATTTTTGACAGGGCCAAGATACCTACATTCATCTGATTGGAAATTTTCATTTTAATATAAAATTCACTTAACTGGGAGTACACCATATGTCATAATTTACTTTTGAACTAAAATATTTGCTTTGTTAGTGATAGAAAGTCAGTAAGTGGGGAATATTGGGTACTAGCAAGCCCTAAAGATCCTTTGGAAGATCTTCTAACTCAAATCTCCAGTCCCCACAAACACGCATTGTGGTTCTCTTTGGCATTTTGGACTACTTTTCTTTCCCCTGCCCTCCCCATTACTTCTGACCATGACTCCTTTGCACTTTGGCCCAGTAAAGAATGCCATGAGGTCTTACAGGTTTTTCTCGAATATCTTTCTGACAGATCACACCCCTTATCGATAAGTTTTTCTTGGGTTTTTATTCCCAGAAACACTGGGAAAAAGTTAGGAAATTAAAAGGCTCCATCCTAACTCCTCCTGGTCTTCATTTGAAGACGATAAATGTATCAGTGATACACCTTTGGCTAAACAAGAAAAGGATTTGTCTATAGGAACCTTCCTTTGTCACCTAACTGAATCCTCCAGGAATTTGCTGAGCAGGTTCTTCTGAACTTCATTTACATTATGCGATTCCCAGCACCCTCAAACCCAGAGATAGATCCAGATGGTTCCATTGAGGCTGCCCAGCACTAACACCGGCTCCCTTCAGCAAGCACCCCTGATGGACTAGTCAAGGATCTCGGCGCTCCTCAAGGCAGTAAACAGGCGCCTGATCCCAGCCAGCTCAATCTGGCTCTCTCTCTCTCTCAGGATTTTGAATCCTAAGAAAGGTGACATGAGAATGGAATAAACAAGCTGGGAGTTCATTTATCCCAGAGTTCTCCTGCCCTTACAAGCCTCCCAAAAATGTCTCCTTTATAGACTTCAGGGACTGAACTGGCTCATATGCCTTCCCAAGCTTGATCCTCCAGAGTCTAAATTACACAAGCCCCATAATGCCTTCTAAAGAAACCCCGGTCACATAAGTTAGCTAGAGTCAGGCTCCTTTGCTTGTATGCAAAAAGCCATGCCTGCTATAGCACATTCCCGCCTTAGTGGTTTATCACACAGATGCTGCCACCTCCTGAGTGGGAATCATCCCGCAGCTCTGAAGACCCCTGTCTGGCATCACCACTTATATGTGGCCTAACCTCAGCAGATGCCCCAGCCTCAGAGCAGTCTGGCAGTCCTTCCTCCATTCTCTGCTCAGTTCTTATCTCAACATTGGCTGCTCCTAACTGAATATACTCCTCAAATCTAGACAGTCCTCTCATCTGTGTCCTAGAATATCATCTAATACATAGAAACCGGCTGGGCACAGTGGCAAATGCCTGTAATCCCAGCACTTTGGGAGTCTAAGGTGGGTGGATCACCTGAGGTCAGGAGTTCGAGAGCAGCCTGGCCAACATGGTGAAACCCCATCTCTCCTAAAAATACAAAAATTAGCCAGGCATGGTGACAGGCACCTGTAATCTCAGCTACTCAAGAGGCGGAGGCAGGAGAATCACTTGAACCCAGAAGGCAGAGGTTGCAGTGAGCTGAGATCATGCCACTGCACTCCAGCCTGGGCGACAGAACAAGATTTTATCTTAATAATAATAATATACAGAAACCATAAAGTATATTCTTCCTTAATCTCCCTTTCTCTATTTCTCTAGCTTAATTTTATCTTCACCTCCCTTTCTTCAGACACAAAGAAGGAGTTGCCACTCATCTTCTCCAGGCCCACTCCTCTGGCTGTGGTCTATGCTGCAACTGTACACTGTCAGTTATCTCTTTTCCTCTCTAATCTCTCCTCCTTCCTCTGTCCCAAATGCCCTGAGTTCATTCTGATTCTAAGAGGTCCTTTTCCATCAAACATTCCCCACCCGCTCACTCTCCCAGCTCATTTTCTCAACTTCTTAAATGCCTCCTATGTCTGTCTCTGGAACATTGCAATCAAGTTTCTGCTCCCTCTGATGTCACCCAGTGCCAGTGAAGGGGCTCCCATGAAGGTCAGGAGAACTTGCAGAAGGCTCAATCTAATAGTTTTGTTTCAGTCCCTACTCTAAGAAACAACTGCCACTGACACAGCGAGCTGTCCTAAAATAACAATTTTACTTTGCTTTTAAAAGATAATCTCCCAAACATATTCCACCTTCCCTTGCAACTAGCTGTGGTCATATGAGGAAGTTCTGGCCAATGGTATGTGAACAGAAGTGATGAGCATAACATCTGGGTCATATCCTTAAAAGAAAGAGGGGTGCCTCTACTTCCCCTTTCTTCTTCTTGCTGGCTTGGAGGTAGGATGTGGTCTCGTAAGTCATATTGGTCAAAAATATGAAATCTATACCCTGGGGATATGGAAGAACAAGATATAAGACTAGGGCTCCACATGACCTCATGGAGCACAGCTGCCCTACCCCGCTGGCCCACCCTTGAGCTCAAAGAGGCTAACTCATTTGCTCAAGGTCACGAAGCTAGAAAAAGGCAGAGCTAGACTAAGACCCAAGTCCAAGATCAGCACCTGTTTCAGTATGCTACTTGGTGAACTATAAATGGTTCTGGGCAAGTGAGCTCTAATTCCTTCTATTTCCACAGGCACATGGAAACTTCTGGCTATCAGGTTTCAATTCAGCCATCAATAACTCAGCTCTGCAAAATCAAAAAATATTTCTAGGAGCTCAATTTGTACCTACCTTGTTTGGGATTGTCTTTCTCCTCCTGAAGCACTAAAACTTCTCTTTAAAATGTCTGAGACAAGAAAATAGAAATAAGTTTACATTATTTCTTCTGCAAATCTTTTGTTTTCTAAGTTTTAATAAAATAATGCTGAACAACAAATGCTGGTGAAGATGCAGAGAAAGAGGAACTCATACACTGTTGGTGGGACTGTAAATTAGTGTAGCCATTATGGAAAACAGTATAAAGGTTCTCGGCCAGGCGTGGTGGCTCACACCTGTAATCCCAGCACTCTGGGAAGCCGAGGTGGGTGAATCATGAGGTCAAGAGAGCGAAACCATCTTGGCCAACATGGTGAAACCCTGTCTCTATTAAAAAGTACAAAAATTAGCTGGGTGTGGTGGAGCGTGCCTGTAGTCCCAGCTACTCAGGAGGCTAACGCAGGAGAATTGCTTGAACCAAGGAGGCGGAGGTTGCAGTGAGCGAGTTGCACCACTGCACTCCAGCCTGGTGACAGCGCGAGACTCCATATCAAATAAATAAATAAATAAATAAATAAATAAATAAAGATTCTCTTGAAAAAACTAAAAATAGAACTTCTATATGATCCAGCAATCCCATTACCGGTATATATCCAAAAGAAGGGAAGTTAGAATATCAAAAAGGTATCTCCACTCTCGTGTTCATTGCAGCACTACTCACAACAGCCAGGATACGAAATCAAACTAAGTACCCATCAGCAGATGAATGGATAAAGAAAATGTTTAACAATAATTTATTGAATATTTAATAGCTAGAAGGGGACATTTGAAATGTTTCCAACACAAATAAATGATAAATGTTTGAGGTGATCAATATCTGAATTACCCACACAATGTGTAATTTGATGACTACAGATTGTATGCAAATATCAAAATATCACAAGTATCCATAAATAGGAACAAATATTATATACCAAAAAAATTTAAATAAGTTTTTTATAAAATTCAAAATAATAAAGAACATATATATTCCATGAATGGTTTGTCTATAAACCCTCTCATGTTGTTCTAAGGTCAAACTTTTCTCTGTAAATGGCAGGTAGGAAATATTCTAGGCTTTGCAAGCCATACTATATCTGTCACAACTGAATTCTGCTGCCACTGTAGCATGAAAGCAGTCAAACAACATTCAAGAAACAAACACAGCTTTATTCATGGAAAACCACAATATCAACAAAAAACAATGCTGAATCTCTGCTACCTGAGCAATTGTACATACTGTAAAAATTGTCTTTGATTATGAAAATATGAGCTAAAATATGTTACAAATTGTCATTTATTTGTCAGGTTTAAGGGCTTTTTTTCTAAAGCAAATGTCTAAACAAACAAAAACAACCCTGTTATTAATATCTAACAAAACACAATAAAATGTCATGCAATAAAATGTCATAACCATCCTAGCCAAGTTACCACATGCAAATTTAAGGGTCAAGCACCTCTTTCCTACCTCCCCACTAACCCTCCCACCATTGCTGCCAGGTATATAGAACACTGAACTTATCTCAAAACAGTCAGTAATAAATTTCTTCTGGAATTTGTTATATATGTTCATATGCATAAATATTTTTCCCATATGAGCTTCATGTTTTCCCAATCGCAAATTAATACACCTAGAAGGCAGGGATTTACAGAGAAAATAGGACAGAATATTGAAAACTGGGGTTGTCCCAGAAAATCTGGAACATCTAGTCATGATTTCAATGGACCAATTAAGTTTGGAAAGGACAAAGAATGTAGCTAAATCCTTAGGGTTCTACTTTGATCCTTAGAGAGGCTATTTTAAATGTTCTTTTATGAGATTTTCATAGTATAGTCACTGAGGAGAGAGAATTATTTTCACTTAATTTATTTCAGAATATTTCTACCTACAGCTTTTAATATTTTATCAAGTTACTCTTTCTTTTTTTTTTTTTTCTTTTTTTTTTTTTTTTGAGATGGAGTCTTTCTCTGTCACCCAGGCTGGAGTGCAGTGGTGCCATCTCATCTCGGCTCACTGCAAGCTCCGGCTCCCGGGTTCACGCCATTCTCCTGCCTCGGCCTCCCAAGTAGCTGGGACTACAGGTGCCCACCATCACACCTGGCTCATTTTTCTATTTTCAGTAGGGACAGTGTTTCACCATGTTAGCCAGGATGGTCTCGATCTCCTGACCTTGTGATCCACCCGCCTCAGCCTCCCAAAGTGCTGGGATTACAGGCGTGAGCCACCGCGCCCGGTCTCAACTTACTCTTTTCAAAAAAAATTGTTTATCTTCATTTTCCATTTTAACTTCTCTTTTCAGTTTCAGGTTTGTTGAGTATGTTTGATTCTATCTCTCTTTATAATCTTTAAAATTTATCTAAATATACCTTTTCCTTTTCTTTCCCATATCCCAGTATGACTACTTTCTTTACTGTTTTAAATTAAGAGTCAAGATTAACATTATAAACTGAATTTATATGTCATACTTTTTATAACTCTAAAAACATTTCCTTTGTTTTATTGTTTTAAATGTAACACAGGCCTTTAGATTTATATAAATAAAATATATTTATGTACAATATATATGTACTATATATGTAAAATATATATGTGTACTGCATATATATATGTAAAATATATATATGTACAAAAATTAGTCTATACCAAGATCAATTTCTTCTACAGACTTTGAATTCCTCTAACCAACAGGCTCATAAAAGGTCATGTCCATTACTCCCGTGGTTATTTGGCTGTCTCCGAGATATTTTGACCCCCTAGTTAGAACCTGTATTTGCTGGTAGAAATAATAAAACTATTCATTTGACAGCTGAGAAAATATAAACCCACTGTGCTGGCTAACCTTTGGGCTCTGTCAGAGAGACAGACACATCTGTCCTAATTAACATTGCACCTGAAAAACAAACCACTGGGTTACGTATATGGTGATATTTGCTTGACTCAAGTATGATTTCCAAATCACTGTCTTCTGGAATCCCACAAATGGCAAACTGATAAAAGAAAGCTTACTGAATGTAGATTCTTTCAGAGGGCTTGAACTGGAGCTGCTGGAGTTATCCGAAATGTCCAATTCATCATCTAGCTCTGAATATATATCTGCACATGAATTAAAAACAATAAAAATGCACATGAGTCTTGAAACAGGAAGGAGTTCAGAATGCATTCATGCTTACACACTGCCACTAGCAGTACCTTTCTCAGTATTTTCCAGGTTGAAGTTATCATCTGACAGGATTTCGTCACAGGCCCTGTCTTCGTCTTTACCATAGGAGGCCTGGAAGCCTTCAGGGGGCAGGTCTGCACTTTCTGAAAGTTCACTTTTCAGGCTGGCTGCCCCACTGCTGCTGCTACTCAAGCTTGCCTTCTCAAAGGTCTCCTGGAAAGAGAAATTCAGGTTTTCATAGCCTCTTTCTCCATCCTTCCTTCTATAGGACCTAAATCTTGTTAGAACATATATTAACTGCTTCAAATATCGATATAAATGTTTGATGCAGAAGAAGCATCAGTAGTTCCACCTACACATCTCTTTCACAATCTGTTCAGTCCATAAATACAGAAAGATGCAAGTCTATAAGCTACATTGGATCAAAAAGGAGGGAGGTGGCAAGAGGGCTCAGTAGAAAAGGCCCATACAACCCAGTGCGGGTTGTGGGGGGAGGAAATTTACTTCTAAGAAATAGACTATATCAATTTAGGAAAAATTTCTCTCCTTTAAGTTTTTTCAAAAATATTTGCTATCAAATCCTCCCAGTACCATAGCAAATAAGCAAGGCTTATTCTCTTCCAAACTTCAGGAAAATTAGTAGCAGACAAAGCCAGGCCATGGAGAGTGAGAGGCAAGGTCTTCCAAAAAAAGAAGGGCTACAGAGAACAGAACTTACAAACCACTTGGGACTCTACACTACTGCCTGGCTTGAACACTCCCTGTAGAACCAGCCACAGTATCCTCCTGAATCCTCCAAAACAGATGGATGCATTTCCATTATGATAGCACTACAAAGTCATCAATCTGGTTGTGTAGTTCCACATTTCCCTCAAGAATAGTATTAGAAAATGCAAAAATTATGTCTCAAGGGTCAATAAAAATAAATTAATTAATTAATGCCACTAATGCTGGAAGTTTTCGTTTTTCTAACAAAAAGACCGTGTGGAAGGAATGACTATGAATCAGTAAAAAATACCACTTGTTTCTTTACCCAAGCAACTCTAAAACCTAAGACGTTCATTGTGTGGGACTATTTGCAGCAAGTGTGAAGAGCCTTCTTAGGCTGTGGGGCTAAACAGTGCTGACAAAGCAAAGCTACAGAACAGGTAGACAAAAAGACAAAGAAAGACCATGACGGAGGAAAGGATAACAGGCAGAGAGTGTGAGAAGAAAGAAAAAGGTGCATTTATTGAAGGGGAAAGAATTCCCTCTATGAATTGCGTACAAGATGATTTACTCGCAAATTACCTAGCACTTCTTGACTAAAAGGCCCCAATGATGCCCACTTGAGAGACAGACTTATTTTATTTCAGATGTATGTGCTTTTTATTTTTTTCCTACAGTTAAAATGACACAGCTTCAAGGCACAGGTTTCTAAAAACTCCGTAATAATAGAATTTGCAGATGAAGTAAACCTAAGTTCTTAGGGATAACTAGAGTCAGAAGTAAACCTCTAAAAGCTTTCATATGTTTATGTTCTGTAGGTAAGATGAAAAGATTTAAAAAATATTAAAAACATTTGTGCATTGCAAACTGTCTGATCAATTGCTGTTTAAACTTTCTTTTCCCTGAGATTCTTTTCAGTGATTCTTCAAAGTTTCACCAAGCTCCTTGTTTTCTTGAAGTTAATTTGTAGGTGAAGGAGTATTTTAACTTTGATTTTCCATAATTAGTACATCAAATGTTCAAATGTGGTTTTATGACTTTGAGGTGCTAATTTCTGCTTCTGAGGTCCACCCTGGTTGGCTAACTTACAACCTGAGATGGGAAATGCTTTGGCCACTCTCCGGCAAAAGATACGTGCTACTCAGAAATTTTTCCAATGCCTAAGGCTAGTATGGGGCCTTTAAGGCCAGCCTCAGCTCTGCCACACTCAACCCCTGATACCAAATCCAGGAGCTCTTTCTAAGGCTCAAAACTTTATTGCAAAACCAACTCAACTTCTTCCATGCCTTCCTCTTTTCTTGGTCCCAAACCACAAAACCCTTCTTCCTCTAACTATCCTCCACTGAAGTCATTAGAAATTTGCATAGAAATAAAAACCCAATTCAAGGCCTTTTCCTTTTTATGACCTTTTTTATTTGAAGTAAATCATCTTCTACCCTATCCTGAAGACCACAACGGGCATCTGCAACCTTTTAAGGGCTTTACACCCAAGATATGTCAATGTTACCAAGGCTAAAAAAGATGAAGGAGAATTTTTGAATTGAGAAAAGTTTTTATTCTATCGATGCAATTAAGACACTGGAATTCAAATATCTCTAAAACTAGCAAAACTTTAACAAAGGCTTCATTTCTCTTAAGAACAGTCATGGATAAAACATCAGAGGAAAACATTTTTCTTTGAACATATGAAGAGTCAGGAGAAGCTGGAGTCCCCGCTGAAAAAGGCAATTCGAGACTTAAGGAGGCTGGACTTGCAACCAAAACCCAAGAACCAGTCGGGTCATAAATCAATAGTCACTTGTAACTGCCAAAATTGCATCCATGGGTAATAGACTGTTTGCATAAATTCTGATAAAGGGAAATTTACAATCTGAGAGAGATGCTTTTTCAGACTCTGTATGCATAAAAATATGATAATATAGAATGGATAGTTTTGATTTAAAATTTGTATTTCTAGACAGGGCGTGGTCGCTCACGCTTGTAATCCCAGTACTTTGGGAGGCCCAGGCAGACAGATCACGAGGTCAGGAGATCAAGACTATCCTGGGTAACATGGTGAAACCCTGTCTCCACTAAAAAATACAAAAAAAACTAGCTGGGCATGGTGGTGGGCACCTGTAGTCCCAGCTACTCGGGAGGCTGAAGCAGGAGAATGGAGTGAACCCAGGAGGCGGAGCTTGCAGTGAGCGGAGATTGTGCCACTGCACTCCCGCCTGGGTGACAGATAAAGACTCCATCTCAAAAAAAATAAAAATAAAAATAAATTATTTTTCTATAACAATCCCTTGCAGCAGTTTTTTCTTCAAAAAAATTGATATAATTTTTGACCTTGCCATAAACCATATGCCACACATTTTCCCTACTGTGATTTCTGGAGTTTTTCATTGTGAGTATTTGAGTATCCATCTCTTTATAAAATTGTTCCTTGAAGAACTAGGGGCACTTTAGTCCCTTTTACATCCTTTAGTGCTTTGCACAATGCCTTACACATTGCAAAGGCTCAATAAATAGTTGAGCCATTAAGTTGTCCTTGGAAGACACATCCAGCAAGTACATTAAGCTATTAAAGGGATTTAGGCAAGAAAAAAGATAAAGCTTTTGGGGACAGAATTTGGCTGCTATCATCTTTTTCACTTTCTAATTACTAAGATTTTTCAAGGAGTAGGAGAGGGAGTTAACTAGATATTTTTGGCATCTGCATGCATCTGTCCTGGGAATGGATAGACACATTCTGGATATCAATACGGCAGCAAGGAGAATACAATGCAAATCAGACAATAAAATTATCACTGATATGGAAATCAGCACCATTACAGAAGATGCTTCCTGTCACCACGCTAGTATAGGCACAATTATGTTTAGCTCGATTTTGCGCATTATAATGTAATATTTTTATGTGTGCAGCAGATCATAATACATTTTCAGTGGAATAGCAATTCGAACAGTAACAGACTGACATTACCCAAATTAACTGCTACAGTAGGAAAATTAAGGGCATCTATTTTATTAAAATCAGTGCAATTTTTAAAATTGCCAGAATGTTAGTTTTAGAAGGAGAGAGAGAAAGAAAATCAAGAAATAAATGTAAAGGATAACACCAGTTACATCCTATAGATGCTTTACTTTAGAACTAAAAAATGCACTATTTCTTTGTGTTCTGAAATGTTCATATTCTATTAGGTATATTTTTACCCAGTTTTGTTAATAAACTGTACCCTTAAATATCTCCATTTAGTGCTACCAGGTGCTTGAAATTCATCCAGCTGAGGTGATCTTTTATCAGTGGCACACCGCCTTCTATGCTTTTCATGGATGATTGCACAAAGAAAATTCAAACTAGGAGACAGGCCATTGACTGCATACTATTATAAATAAACTCAGTGCCTACATTTTAAGGTATATTTTTAAAAATCAGCCAGTGTGGTCAGATGATTAAGGAACCTTGTGGACTAGACCACAGCTGAGTGAAATGTTCACTTTAGTGGTGAGATAGGAACCTTTTCTCCAGGCCTCCCTACGGAAGACTTGGCTTTGCCACATCAGAGAGGTGGGCTGATAAAATAAGCCTGGTCTCCACTCCCAACTCAGTGGTAGAGGGAAATCTTTCAATCTTTGATCCTGAAAGTTAGTTTTGTTTATTTTTTAGAAATAAGGTCTCATTATGTTGCCCAGGCTGGTCTCGAACTTCTGGGTTTAAGGGATCATCCTGCCTGGGTCTTCGGAGTAGCTGGAAATATAGAGGCACAGCACTGTGTCCAGCTTTCCCAAAATGGTTTGGATGATAACATCGTCTATTTTCATCAAGGAATCTTGAAGAATTTCCCTTCCCCCATTCTCCATATACAGTTAAGAGAGCAATAGTTAAACCAGAAAAACTGGTGTTTTGGGACCCTAAAAATAACTGACTTATATGGATTATATAATAAAGAAAATATTCTTTTTAGGTTGGATCTTATTTATTTTGGACTTCTTAAATATTTATACAAAGCTAAAAATGTTACTGTCATGACATAATTATCTCATTATTATGATACTATCTTAATTAGAACTTCTTAAAAGCACTATTACATATTAATGAATTAGGGAATTAAATTAATTAATTAAATAAATTAGGGAATAAATTGGTCATTACAATTCATTCTAAAAATCCAGTATCAAATTTATTATGGCTAAAAATGTTTCACTGTTTTCCCATAACTAACCTAGTACCATATCAGAAATGAAAGGATTTTCTATCACTTTTAACTCAAATACAGGTTTTCTACAAGGAATAATACTAACAAAGAGGAGAAGAAAAGCAATGTCATAATCTGAAATTATCGTATGTTAAGAATACAGAAGATCTGGTCCATCACAACAATACTGACCACCATGTTTTTCCAAGACGGCAGACTGACATGCCAATAGAACTAAATGTATATACGAATATATTCAAAAGCATTACAAACGAGGCCAGAATCAGGTAATTCTACTTAACATTTAAAAGAAACAATGGGGGCTGGGAG